TGAACCTTCAGCTTCTTACTTGGTTAGGAGACTTATCTCAATTTTCTGCGGAACTCCTTCAAAATTAATTCCTATCCCTAAGCAAGTCAAACATTTTTATGCAATAGCTTCACATATTTCACAACCGTTCACATAATATGCTTAATGAATACTTTTCCCACATGAAACTCTATTTTTCGTAATAATTCCTTGATAATCCTAGGCAGAGATCATAATTTATTTCACCAATGGCTGTGCATGCTGAAATATTTGGAGTCTTGGGAAGAATCACTAGTTTGACAACCATTTAAATTTTAGCCAAAATGTCAAATTCTCATTTTATCAAATATTGTTATTCCAGATAGAGATCTTTCACCTTAATCATCAAATCTTCACATCTATAATGTTACATCAAGCAGTGAGGAATCAACCGAACACAAACATCTCTTTTCCAAAGTTTCCGTCAAAATCGGCATATTGATATTGGTGAAATCTTCTTTAGCTTGTGACATTTACTAGTATTTTTCGATTTCAGGTTTGATGACCTTCTTTCTTTTTACCTTGCATTAAGTTAGAGGCATTTTGCTGCACTAGGTTAGAGGCTGGTAAATATCGCATTAGGTTAGGGTCATTTTGCTGCGCGGCATATATAACATTTTTCACCCACGTAGTATTTTCATTCACGTAGTACTGCAGCTGTGGAGCTGCACTGTTTCCGTGGCTCTGATGACAGCATTTTTTTTTTCTTTTAATCTGTTGATATTTTTTGTTTTCCTAAGTTTCGATCATCATGTACGTCTGACACGTCCTTCTTGAAAGCTTGGTAGCCAAGCGAAAAACTGTGCAATGATCCACAGCTTGATCGCTACAAATTTCTGGCAATAATGTGAAATTTTGCTCCCATATACGTTTATTTTTAAAAATCTCATCTTTTATTTTCTAAAGTGTTCACTGCCTACAAACTTCACTTCAAATTTCATTTGAGATTTAATTTCTTCACACAGGTTAGGTAGCCCAATCGAAAGTTGTACTATGTAACCGTTAGGCTGATGATAATTTACTTTAAACTTTCTTCTGAGTTATTTTACTTAGAAATTCAAGACGAGACAGTAAGTCATTTGACCTCCTTTATGGGCCCAGCAGTTAGAATATAGTGGATCCGTTGACCTATTTAGCTTAGGAACTTACTTAGCTTATGAAGTTTAGGAACTTACTTAGCTTATGAAGCTTAGGAACTATTGCGCAGACGTCTGCCGTGTTACAAAAGGCCTCCACATCGAACATCTTTGCATGTACATAGAAATATGAAGGGTTACGCGTTCATGTTATATCTGCATTTGCAAAATAAATTCAATGTAGTAGTGACAGGTATGTTTTCTTTCTGTAACATTAGTTTTGACTTGCCATGTATTTGAGAAACAGCTCAAAATTAAACAGCTAGGTAGAAGACTTCGGCTGGTAGACTGTTTAAATATGTACTCGACGACGCGTTTATATAGCCCGGCAACTACTAGATTTATTAGCAATAGGTTATGTATGTCCAGAATTATCGTAACAATTCAAGTGGTGGTTTCGAGAATTTTCAATGATGCGCATGAACTTCGTTATCCACGTCCAAAGTTATCAGGACAATTCGAGAGATTGTTTCAAGAACTGATGTGCATGAATTTTGTTATCTATGTCCAAAATTATCGGGACGATTCAAGAGATAGTTTCGAGAATATTCAATTATACGCAGTGTACGGATTAGTAAAAAATTTTGGCAGATTGCGTTAGATGCCATGCTGAAATACTGTATCAGTCAACGCCATCATGAGAGATATTGATTATTCAAATACCACTGAAATTGCAATCTTTCTTTCTTTCTTTTTTTCTTTTTTTTTGTAAATTCTTCTTTATTGGGCATTAGTAAAAATAGTTATTACATTGGGAAGAAATATTTAACGACTTCTTAGAATCTTGCCAAAACGTCGACTCTTGGGTTTGTAATCTTGTGAAAACATTGACTGTACTGATGGAAGCAGTCCCCAAAACTTCATTACAGTAATAAAATAATGATTGAATGCTCATTTCGTATGTATTTACTAAAGTTTCTCTGTTGCACCCCTATCGGCAGCCCACCAGCCATTTCAAAATTGGAAGTCTTCTTTCAGTTTATTAATTTATATAAAAAATATGTTCATTCCGGTTCCAGATCATTTTTATAATTCTTGAGAACATTAATAAAAATATACAAACTGTCAGAAAAATCTTTGGGATGTTTTTCAACTTTCATGTCATTGTAGCTTGAACAGGGTTCGTAGCGGTCCTTATAAGTGCTTATAACTCCTTATATTTGAAATTAAAATATAAAGGCCCTTACAGGTGCTTACTTTTTCTTTAAAGCCCCCCCCTTTTTTTTTGTTTGCAGTGCTTATTTTCTGCTTTTAGTGCTTTTTTATTTTTTATTTTTTTAATGAACGCGCTATTTTTCCCGGTACCAAAGCCAAAACTAAACAACTTTTCTTCCTAATATGGAATGTCAGATGGTGACTCATACTCCCGGAAGTAGCTTTTACCCCTTTCTCTGCATTAACATAACCTTTAGTGTGCACGAAGAGTACAGACATGTGCCTGTCGTTCTATTGGTCAAAGAATTGCGAAAGCAGTAGAAAATTCTGGCACATTCGGCATTCTTTTCCTCCCAGCCAAATACTGCACACATTTGAATTTCTATCAAGATCTTAATAATTTGCATTCTCGTTCCGCTTGGTCAGTTCATATTCGTGTTTATTATGATCATTATGCTTATATTATGAGCAAATGTATGAATGTTTATACTAACATAGTTGCAGTAACTGCTGAAGTATAGTAAACTTCCAAATATGGTTGTGTTTTAACACAGATTAGCTTTCTAAGGAATAATATTCGGAATGCCTTAAATAAAGGGAAAGTAATCGAATAGTCAAAATAATTTCATTTTTTTGGCCAATACATTATACAGTACGAAGATTGGGAGGTTCTCACCTTTCTCCGAAAAATCTCGAATATTCAAACTGTTACAGTTCGCTGCAAAACAAGCAACAGACTTTTTTTTTTTTTTTTTTTTTTCCCAATCTGGATTGAATAGGACTAAAAGTTCTGCAGTCTACCAACCAAGAGAAGAATGATTCTATTCCGGAAATTTAACGCCGTCTGTTGAAAATTAGAATGAGAAACAGCCAATGTTATTTAGTTCTTCTTTATTCTCCCAATACCGGCAGCTGTGGATTCCGAATTGCGTAATATCACGTAGGGAAGAATTACGGCACACGTATTGCGCCAATAACGTTTGTGCAATATTTTGCAGAGATAATTATTAATTTTGATGTTCTGTCCGAGATTTGTTTATGAACACTTTAAAAAAGTTTTACTGTGCTTGCTAAGCAGAATATTTTTCAGTTCCATTGGTTTATTTTTATATGATGCACATATCGAAATGTCAAAAGCATTTATTTAGCGGGAAAATCTAAAGAGCGGCTACAGTCTACCCCCCCCACACACACACACTCCGGTCCTCTTTTTCAAGTTACGCTCGACTGTCCAAATATTCGCCAATTTCCAAGTATGCGGGTTAGTTAAGCTTTTACTGTTAAAGGATGACTGCATGAAGCAAATTTCTGTCTTCTGATTTCAGAAATGGTCCTCTTTTTTACTTAAATTACCTTGCAATTCAATCTGAAGGGAAAAGCTGATATACAATGAAAATTTAGAAAATGTTCAGAATTTAGATTTAATTCAGAATTTATTTAAATATCAACATGAGTGGAAAAATAAATTGTATTTATTATTATGTTCCAAGCGAATACAATAAATGTGCCTTATTATAATTTATTTTCTGTATTTTGAACTGAAATTTATCATTAAATCTTGTAATATAGTTTAGTTCTACATAGGTTTTTTTCTCTCATTGTAAACTAGTTCTGTAAATTGAACTGTTATTTAAAATTAAAAAAAAAAAAAAAAAAAGTATTTATTTTCCATGATTGAGGTAATGCTTATTCTCTCTTAATAAATACTGCATTTCTCATATTTTAAATTACAAGTCTAATTTTTAAGGTTATGCAGTTGTGTATAATGTAATTAGACAGGTGCTTATTTTTTTAACTAAAATGTGGCTATGAACCCTGTTATAGAAGTAGTGGAGAAGGTTTCAAATAGAAAGAAATCCCTGATAACTTTGTAAAAAGATTCAAAACTAATTAATTACTTTCTTTTGGAACTGAATAGTTTTAGTTTACCCTATTTCATACATATATTTTATATGCATAATGAGCCGCACAAATTGCCTACAAGAGCCGTATCAGGCTCGCGAGCCGCACTCTGGCCACCCGTGGGCTATAGTATAGGTGCTAATACAAGTCACATTCGAAATAATTAAGTGATTAGAGTGCCGAAACATAAGTGAGTTTGAGGATCTTAACTATTTTATCAAAAGAAAGACATGAAAAAATACAACAACAAAAATACAATAACTTTGTAAACAGAAATAGATTTCCCGGTAAATAGTTAAAAATATAATGATGAAATATATTTATTTCGCTTGGTGTTTTTTTTTTTTTTTTTTTTTAAGTTAGATGACAGTTTGAATTAATTTAATTAGTCAAAGTGTTTTTTTTTTTATTTTAAATTATAAATAATAAACTAGCCGAAAGGTGTTGGGATAGCTGGGTCCATGAACCTTCGTGGATTTCAATTTATGAATTAAGTTCTTCATTTAATTTACATAAGCATGTGCAGAAACGATTTGCTGCCAAAGGACGACTTGGAGAATTATTGACAAGTGTTTTCGCATTTGTGTTTTCATGTTATTTGCTCACTACCTTACCAGTATTTTGTTACAAGTTCAGTACACTACAGTAATATGTGCATTTATGTTAGTTCTGCTGATAAACAGTTGTGATTTTTTATTAATGGAATTTTTCTGTGCACTAGAAATAAATGTTTACTTTTACAGTGTTCCAGATGCATTTTTATTTTATAATATACTTTTTACTTTTTAGCTGGATCACATCATATATTTGAGATGCTGTTCATTCGAATACAGTAGTGAAATAACATCATTCCTTCGTAAATATCGTGAAATTGTGAATCCTGAATTATTGTACACAGATGTTGCTTTTACATTTAGCTCAAACAGGTGAGGTTCTAAAATTTTATTTTTTATGGTAATAAGTTTGATATGTAGTTCAGATTTTTTCCGTGTTTGTATTAGATTGTTTTAAATTCTTAAAGATAATATCTGTCTTTCATTTCAACCTTAAAAAACCTTTGTTTTATTAGCAGAAACTAGTATCAAATTCCTAACAGACGTTAAGTGAATTGTCTTATGTTTGGACAGAACTACAAAGACTTAGAAGGTTTTAAAACAAACCTTTTCATTAAATCAGAACTGGGACATAAATTCATGAATTGTGCTTACAGTTCAGCCAATCACTTGTGGTGATGTAACAACAGTATGTTCATATTTAAAATCAATCTAGTAGTCAAAGACTAAATTTAATTTAATGTGAAGTTGGCTCATATATCTAACCAGCGAAACTATTTAAATGTCGGCACCATAATGCAAAGCCGAAGCCGAGAAGATTTTATATAAGCTAGCAATACCTAGTAATGTGGTCTTGAGCATCAGAACGTGCTCTGTCTTACAGTCCAGCAATCTTGACTTAAATACCGTAAATTAATGTGCATTCTGGTAGGAAAATGGAAGGGAGACGTGAAGTAAAGATTTAAATCAGTGGTTCTCAACCTTTTGACTAACGTGTACCACCTAAACAAAAATTGAAAATTTAGTACCACCACTACATTTTACAATGATTGTTTTTCAATTTCTAAATAGAATATTTTTTAAAAAATGAAAGCTTTCAGATTTTATATTATGCCCAAAGGGGCATTTTTTTGAACATTTTGTGTGTTACCTTTATTTATTAAATATTATGATCTTCACACTTAAACCATAAAATTCAATTTAAGAGCAATATAACAAAATATTTAAAAGAGCATATCTTCAGAATTTCCGATACACAATCTTGCACGCTAGAGATATATATTTTTTTTTTTTTTTCATACAGTGTTGACATTGCTTGCTTTGAAATCATTGAGTTTCTTAATAAAAAATTCTTTAAAGTATTACAAAATATGAAATCGATAATAAAGCAAATTCCAAGTTAGGGCTTCCAGATGCCCAAATTCAGTGGAGGATTACGATATTCAAAATTTGATGGCTCTAGATACAGTTGTTTTATCACAGTGTGGGAAATACATACATTTATGCAGATTCTTAATTATTTAATTTTTTTGATATAGCACAGAGCAATAATATTTGGTGCCAACAATTTAAAAAGTGAAAAGGACATTTAAGTTTTCAACGCAAAATGCCAAAACGAAGTTATTAGTCATTCTGGGCTAATGTCTTTTGGACTAAAAAAGAAAGAAAGAAAATCTGACTGCTTTCAGATTTTATATTACGCCCAAAAGTGCATTTTTTTAACGTTTCATGTGTTAAATTTATTTAATAAATATCACGTTCTTTGCACTTAAAACACATAAAATTCAATTCAGCAGCAAAATATTTAAAAATGGCATACCTTTAAAATTTCCAATACACAGTCACTGGAGATTAAATTTTTTTTTGGGGGGGGGTACAGTGTTCCCATTTGAAATTGTTGAGTTTGTTAATCAAAAATTCGTTAAAATTTTGCAAAAGTTTAAATATATAATAAAACAAATTCGAAATTCAAGATTCAAGCTTCCAAGTCGCCATGTTCGTTTGGAAGACTACGTTATTCAAAATTTGATGGCTCTAAGTACAGTGCAAGAAACATTCATGCAGATTCTTCATTATTTAGTTTTTTTAAATGTAATACATAGCAATAATATTTGGTGGCAACAGTTTAAAAAGTGAATCGACTGAAAATGCCGTTTTGAAACTAATAGCCCTGCTGGGCTAACGCCCTTTGGGCTAAAAAGTATTTTGCCGTTTGCACAACCTATTGGCTATTTGAATTAAATATGCATACATAAAAGTATTAGATTAGAAATTGGTTATGATTTTAAGTTATAATATTTTTATTCTAAAATTTAGTGCGAAATTTGGGCCTGTTTAAGAGAAATCAATTTCTTTATGTCTGGTCTTATTTCACTTAGTTTTAAGTGTAAATTAGAATCCACATTTTATTTTTTAAATATATCAGGGAAGAAAATCCTTGTTCACACATTTAGTTTGTGCAAAAATGCAATAAAAATTTAATAGCTTTATTTGAAATGCTTCTAAATTCATTATTTCAGTTAAAGCAAAAATTAACAAGTGTGTTATTTTTGAAATCTTCTGTTAGAGTTCGATCACAGGAATTTTTTATCAATTGTTCTTTTTCTTCACGAGATAAAATTTCAGGTATATTTGAACAAAATGGATTTCTAATCCAATTTTCTTTTTCAAAAGCCTCAGGAAAATACATGTTGAAATTATTTATCAATGAAAAACAATGATGTTTAATCTCAAATGCTAATTCTTCTTCTATTTTCAAATTATTTTTGGTTAGAAAACTTTCTATAAGTGGCAGAAAGCTTAGAATATTATTATCCAATTCTTTTATTATTAGCCCGAGTTTTTTAATCATTATCTTTATTTTTTATCTCTAACTGTAAACAAATTAATATTTTGTTCTTATAATCCTAAATTTAATTCATTTAATTTTTGAAAAATATCAGTTAAATATGCTAAACGTGCAAACCATGATTCGTTAAATAAACACTTGTGCAATTCAAATTTTGAATCACAGAAGGAAAATTTGAATTTCTGATCGAAGTTGAAAAAGACAGTTTAAAACTTTGGTTCTGGATAACTATCTTACTTTGAAATGTAACAAAAGAGTTTCACGTTCACGACCCATCTCTTGGTATAAAATCGTAAATATTCTATTTAAAGCTCAGCTTTTAGTAAAATTAACAATTTTCAGGCTTTCAAAGATTGTTTTGGCTACTAAACCTTCACGATGAGCAGTGAGTAAATTTAGTTTCGGGTGCGACATATTTTATTCGAGAAATCACTCCGGAATGTTTTCCTGTTAAAGCCCGAGCTCCATTACTTGTACATGGCAACACACTTATTTCAAGGAATATCATTCTGAGACAGAAAATTTCACTTACAAAGCTCTATCATGAAGAGCTTCGCAAAATAAATACTCTTCAGGAATTCGTTTATCTTCTTCAAAACGTATGTAAATTAATATGTGAAAAAAGTTCTTTCTATCAGGACTTTTATCCAATTGCAATGCAAAATACTTACTGTATTTTATTTTTTGAATAAGTGTCTCTTTTATTTAAAAATTGTCTGTCTAGAATTTCGTCGACTTCTGTATCATTTGATAACAGAATATTATTAAGTTCATCAGCAGCTTTTTCACTGAATAATGTTAAAGCAATATCTTTAGCTGCTTGTAAGGTTTTCTCCAATAGTGTGACCCTGCCCAATCTTGGCAGTTTTTAAGCTTACTAGGTAACCAGCTTCGAGAGTTTTTTACTTAAAGTAACAAAACCTTTCATTACTTATTAACTAATTTTGAGCTCTATTAATTTCCTGTTAAACTATTCTACAAATTTATCCATTAAATCTGGATGCTTAGATTTAAGATGTCTTTTAAGAAATGGTGGTTTCATGCTTTCATTGGATACTAGTTCACCACAAACAAAACACTGAAGAATACTTTTAAGAAATGGTGGTTTCATGCTTTCATTGGATACTAGTTCACCACAAACAAAACACTGAAGAATACTTTTAAGAAATGGTGGTTTCATGCTTTCATTGGATACTAGTTCACCACAAACAATACACTGAGGTTTAGGGTCCATTTATCTCCATTCCAAGTAAATCCAAACGATAAGTAACTTTCATTATATTTTCTGTATAGAATTTTTCTTTTCAATATTCTTAATGCTAGTAGATTGTCCTGGATCCATAACCAGTAAATCATCACTTTTCTGCCTAGTCAATTCAAATCATTTTTCCATTTTGAAAATCTAGGTTAGTTTTATTATTTTTCAGCAAATATTTAAATGCGCAATATATTACAAGTTTTTCAAAAACCAATGACAATATTCTGAAATCGCATAGAAGAGTAAGGAATACAAAGCAACAAGAAGACAAAATACCTGCTGTTAGAGGCAGCAAACCAATGTAAAAAATGTTTCTCATAAAAAGTGAAGCAATATGATCCCAGAAATAGCGACATAATATGCTGTCATGCTAATAAATCGATAAACTCGTAAGAGAATTAATGAGATACTATTATCTTTTTATAGGAACTTATTTTTATTTCCTATTAAATACATCATCCATTTCTAGCACTCCTTTTGAAAACATCATTTATGGCAAATTTTGTTTTGTCTATGGCTAAAAGAATATTTGTGAATCATACAACATGGAAAAAACACGAAAACTGCCATGTGGACAGTTTGTTCATCTCTTGCTAAGCGGCTGTTGACCTTAAACCAAGCTCAGATCGCATAAATTTACGAGTGTTAAGAGAAAAAACTCAATCGGGATGTTGGGGGTTTTAATTCGGATCGGGATGTTGGGGTGCTGAGGAAAGGGAATGGCAATTTCAAATGTAAAAATTCGCTTACAAGCAAAATTTATAGCAAAACGAATGAACATAAATGATTTCAAAGGAGGTGTAGCAGATTTATGAAAAGAAAAATATTTCTGTGCGTACTAGAACAACAGTCGGGTAACAATTACCAATGGAACGGCAGGATAAAAAGTCATCTTTTCTAAAATATGTGACAGCTATTATCGACAAAAAAACCTTCTTCGGTCACAGATAATAAATATGGATGAAACGCCGTTAGCTTTCGACTCTCCTGCAAACAGAACTGTTGATGAGACTGGTGCAAAAACTGTATCTGTGTTTATGACGGGGCATGAAAGAACGTCATTTACATATGTGTTAGCTTGTGCCGCAAGCGGTGACGAGCTAAAGCCGATAATCATTTTTTACACGAAAGACTATTCCGAAGGGAGATTTTCCTAACGACGTAATTATTTATGCAAACGAGAACGGCTAGATGTGCGAAACAATCATGCATGAGTGGCTACAAAAAGTTTGGCAGTGTCGTGTGGGATCTTTTTTCCAACCAAAGGGGTTATTGATAATGGATTCCATGCGTGATCATTTCTTTGAGTCAGTGAAAACCAGATGTCAAAAATTGTCTACGACCGAAGCAATAATACCTGGTGGTTTGACAAAAATCTTACAACCATTAGATTTGTCAGGTAATAAATCCTTCAAAGCTGTGGGAGTGAAGGGTGAGTGAAGTATTGCATACGTAAACCAAAAGCGGTGAGATGCGTAGAGCATCTTTTGAAGAAATTGCAAAGTGGGCAGGAAGTGCGTGGAAATCGGTAGAAAAATCGTCAATAATAGCAGGGTTCAAGGAAGCTGAAATGATATCCTTAGATAAAGAGACTGTAAACCAAGAGGATGAATGTGACGATCTGGAAGACTTAGATCAGGATTTACTAAATCTTTTTAATTCAGATAGTGAAAATAGGTTGAGTTTTTGCATCTATACGGCCCACGACGATGTCACGCGCAATTTAATCTATTGCGGCGTTTCTGTGTAATTTTAATTTTTTTCCCGCCATTTTTCTCGAGTGCGGCATTTACGCTGATGGGGCCTTTCTTCCGGAAATTACAGTAAGAAATCTAACAACTGAGCTAAAATTTCCTTCATTTACATGGATCATGGAACAAGTCTTCACAATTACTAGATGACACTGGGTTGTCTCTTGTGTATTCAAAATGTAAACACTTTGGATTCTTTTCACTAATGATTATATTTCATTCTTCAAATTATAAAATATCATTTGCAGCTTTCATGGTTAAAAGATTGTAGTACTTTTTATGAAAGATTAATTTGAAGATCTTTTTCAATTCCCCTCCTAGATAAATAACCATATTACTGTCAATAATATGTGAATGTATATATAAGTAAATTTAATTAGGTGCTTCCCTTCTCTCGTTTTTTAAAATGCTTATATCTTAACACAGTTTGATATAAACTATGGCAAAATTTTAGTGAATGTTATAGAATTTTGTGTTTCAGTCAGTAAATTTCCTATTGTGTCATGAGTTATTCTTATTTATGAATAAAAAATCAGTTTTAATTTTGATATTTTTATTGTTTTTTGTTAAAAATTTCTACATCTTTGTTATTTTAGTAGGACTGAATTATGTTTCACATTGGTATGACAAGAATCCTAAATAATATTCAGATTTAAATTAAATTCAGTAAAGTGTTCTGAATGCAACTGAATGATAGTTCTCTTAACTATCTTCTTTGTATTAAATAAAAAAATATAATAATAATTAAATATAAAAAACAGAGGCAGTAAAAAATATATTCGAACTAATACAGTATATCTTTAATTATTGTCCTGTTTGTGTTTTGAATTAATTTCTAATGAATAAATGCAACATTTAAACCAAAAAAAAAAATACTGTAGTTCTTTTGTGTTTTAAAACTACATGTGCCAAACTCTTTTCACCCAAAAGATATGTATGCGGACATTGAGCAATCGGCAACGGTTAAATTATATATTACTCTCATTACTTATAAAAGTATTCTTTTTTTTTTTTTTCAAATTAATTGCAGTCAATAAGTTTTCAAAGTAAATCATTCTATTCCATTTAGTAACGTAAAAGATGTATTTCTTATGTTTAGAAAAATTTAACTACAGTTACAATGAGCTGATATTTTCTCGTTGTTAAGTTTCAAATTAATACATATAACTTTTTCAAAAAATTGTTTTGCATGTGTTAGTTACCTTTGACTGGAAAAGATCTTTTTATATATATATATATATATATATATATATATATATATATATATATATTTCATGTATTGATTATTTACGAACGGTCAAATACATCTGTTGCAAAATTGCCATTTTAATGTCAGAATACCTAGTATATGCTTGCGGCTGTATTTAAAAAATATCATTACCTGTGTAAAAGGAAGTCCATTTTCTTTTGCAGTATATATTTACTTTTTTATTCTTAGTTTAATCTCTCTTTTGCAACCATTGAAGACTTGAACTGCAAGAAACAAGTTCACATGAATAATGAAAATTTAATTAAAAAAATGTAGCAATAATTACATAAACAACCCTGAAACAATCTTAACAGTATTGTTTTATACTGTTACACACAGTGGTGATCTACAGGAGGCTCTTTGTTAAATTTGTGTTCAATTTGCAAGATTCTTGTTCTTTGGCCCACCACCGGCCAAATGGTAAAAGCTACTGAACGCTGCCAGTTTGTTCCAGGGTTAAAATCCAGGTGAACAGGCCGTCTGCAAGGGCATTTTAATGGTTTTCCCCATGTAGTACATGTATATGAGCCATTTTCCTTTAGAGAATTACTCAACGAAGGTATTCCTTCCCTTAAGTAGATCACAAGAGCTTTGCCCTTCTTAAACAAACCCAAATCCCTTGTTCATTTTGCTTGTAGCTAGAAAGTGCTGCTGCTGAATTTATACGTACCTGTGCAATTAGTAGTCCAAACTGACGTGGATATCCTGAAAACTATTTAAAAATTCATTTAATCGCAATTGATTCTGAAGTGTAGTGTTGGGAAAGATTCGGAAGTTTCAATCAAACTTCTAATTTTTTTTTTTTTTAAACATTTGATTTGGCACTTCACATTGTTTTTTTTATCAACATTACAATTAGAAGATTCAATTGGAGACATTAATGACATAAATCATTTTGAATCATTCATCATCTCCAAATCAGGGAGAATTTATTACATTCATAATGATATATTTGTCGGAATAGTAATAACCGACCTTGTGCTTGGACCATAATCGCAGCATGCAATGTATGAATGCCTTTCATTGTCAAAAAAAGCTTGTAAGAACTAGCTTAGCTTTATGCATGAAATAATAATATCAAAAGATACATATAAGGCATACTATTGCGTCAAATGATACATATAAGGATTTTATGTATTCTATATGATATAATACGTATAAGGGTATTTTACACATAAGGTTCTAAAGATTGCCTACTTTTATGCATGAAATGCAAATGCACGTTAAATTCACACTAGTTATGTGCAATATTTAATCAACTTCCAATTTACTAGTTTTTATTAAGCTTACTGTAGTAAGCATACTCTTTGATTTACTAACAATCCAGATGTTCTGACAAGTTATATAAATTCATCAAATTGCGATCAGGCATACTATAAATGCTGCTCACCTTTGGAACTCTAAATAGACTTGGATTCTTTATTCCCAAGTTTTTATTCTTGCGCGCATTAAATTTCTATAGCCACTGTTGCATCCAGGGATGAAACAGGTTCCATTAGATGCCTTATCCATACCGAACGGGTGATGACTGCAACCTCTTGTATAAATAACACAACAAAAAGTGGATGATTTGGGGGAAAAATTGTAAAACAAGTTTCACCTCCTTTTATACTTAATGTTTAAAACAATACAACTCTTACAGTTACAATGAAAAAATTCTGAAATTTTCAAATGGCAACACAATTTACTTTTCCTGTGCAAATTTATCAGCACATTTAAAAATCATAAATGATGTTGGAATGGTACAAATATGATGAAAACTGCCAATGTAAAAACACCTTTATACTTCTTTTGCAGCCTTCATGTGATTATCTCTTGCGTCCAAGGAGCACCAACGACCCGTCCTTTCCGATTTACCTCGGTTGGGCGGAGTATGAGCGTACACGTTGGGACCCGAAAGATGGTGAACTATGCCCGGGCAGGACGAGGCCAGAGGAAACTCTGGTGGAGGTCCGTAGCGGTTCTGACGTGCAAATCGATCGTCAGATCCGGGCCTAGGGGCGAAAGACTAATCGAACCATCTAGTAGCTGGTTCCCTCCGAAGTTTCCCTCAGGATAGCTGGCGCTCGAGATTCAGTCTCATCCGGTAAAGCGAATGATTAGAGGCCTTGGGGCCGAAACGACCTCAACCTATTCTCAAACTTTAAATGGGTGAGAAGTCTGGCTTGCATGACTGAAGCCCGGACAATTGGATGAGAGTGCCCAGTGGGCCACTTTTGGTAAGCAGAACTGGCGCTGTGGGATGAACCAAACGCTGGGTTACGGCGCCCGATGCGAGACGCTCATGAGACCCCATGAAAGGTGTTGGTTGCTCTAGACAGCACGGTGGGGGAAGTGGCCATGGAAGTCGGAATCTAACAACTCTGTAACAACTCACCTGCCGAAGCAACTAGCCCTGAAAATGGATGGCGCTCCAGCGTCGAGCCCATACCCGGCTTTTAAACGAATAGTTTACAAAGCAATGTTTTCTTTGTATAAGAAAATGTCTTGAGGCATTACAAAAGGATGACTGGTTGGACGTCAACCATCGCCACAGTCTTCTTCATTTTGTGCATTCTTTCAGGCAGGAGTGAATATGGATACCACAAGAACTTGTTGATAATCTTATTTGAGTTGTTAGAGGTATTTTAGGTTGGTTTGTTTTGCATTAGATCCCTTTGATTTTACTTCCTTGTCTCTTAATTCTGTTTAGCAGTACATAAACATTGGGAGAAAAATGCGTGTAATTTGCTTAATCAAAAACTGCACATTTTTTTCCTTAATGGATTTCATCTTACCCCCAGATCACCCAGGGATGTGTTTCCTTAAAACTGGGCTAGAGATAAATAGTTAGCAAGGCCCATCAATACCTACTATATACATACTATAATGCACAGGTGCTGGGTTTCTTTTACCTGCACCTGTATACTTCTTTTGCAGCCTTCATGATGATACTCCAATAAATGCTGCCGTTGTAATGCATAATTTTGTTTTATTGTTTCAGTTTCGAGAATATTGATTTGGGAGATGGCAAGGATGTATATCTCTGTGGCAACAGTGCTCAGTTGCTCAAGTAATGTAGATTTTTCATCATTAACTTAACTGAAATAAAATATTTTAAACTGAATAGTTACAAAGCAAATTGTGTATAAGAAAATGTGCACTGATACGAAAATTAATTGCATTTTATTGCATCATATTTTAATACTGCCTTTTAAACAGTTACGATTTTTTTCAAAATCTGCTAACCCTTTGTGGCGCACTATACTTAACATCGGAATGTCAACAAAAAAAGTTGTATGCAGTCTCTTTAGTCCTAAAGGAGTATACAGGTAAAATTTTGTAAAAATTGCACTTACCATTTTAATTCTGTGGGTGTTCCAGGAGGTGGAACACTGCGCTTCCAGAGGTTTTAAAAAGTGCGACTAAGCGAGCATTGCAGTGAAGCACGAAAATGAGTAGAAGCATTTGTATAAGAAAGAAAAAATCTGTATTATGGCTGTATACATGGTTTCCTGGATATACACAATATTCTTGAATATATACGGATAAATGAGATAAATATCTATATACACAAGTCCTATATACAAAAATATTTACAAATTTTCGGAAAGAGCGCTTCGGAAAGAGTTAGACCTCTCCGCGCCATTTATGGAAACTTAATAATAAAAAAATGAACTATGATTAATGTTAACGATAAAGAAAAATAAGCCTATAATATATACATACATGAAAAATATCTACACAATTATTGAAAATAAATGGAAATGAGACTAAAATGCGACAGCAAAAAATTTGCGCAGGTCTAAGATGAGTCAAACTACTAATAAAATTCCCTCCTAAAAACTACTCCCAAAAAATTCGAGATGCCAATATTAGGGCTTTCATAACACAAAACACACTTCACCCCTCAATACTGCTTTGTTTGAATTCATCCCCCCAAAACAACGGAAAAGAAAACGCAAACAACGGATGTTCTCTCCTAAGCACAGATGTTCTGATTCGTAACAGCACGAGATTGCTAAAGGCGCAGTGTTCCCGCTAATGGAACACCTGGTTTCATTCAATGATTCTATGTATGGTTTTCGTATGAAAGATTAAAAAAAATATAGAACAAATAATTTGGAGTACAGCCAGCAAAATTATGCCTAATTTTTTTTTCCAAATAAAATTTTTTATATCATTAAAAAAAAATAGAGAAAATTACTTGAAAAAAAGTGGATTTTTATTACACATAATAAATGAAAATTCTGTGTATCCTTGTGATATGCTGCTATCTACTGTTTAAAAAGAAAAGTTCAAAGTATATGATAAAGGCATTTTTATCTATTTACGGTTGAATTTAAAGGTTTCAGAAGTGATTCAATTTGGGTGTTCCATGTATTGGAACACTGAGCCGCAAAGGGTTAAAGCATTTTTGTATAATAAAATTATCTTTAAATTGATTTGTATTGTATCTGAACAATTCAGTCTGTAGAACTGGAACAGGATAATCCCTTTTTTTAATCAATTAAGGATTTTTATAAATGAAGGAAAAATCGTGCTATATCTTATTATAATTTGTTTTTCGTTATAAATATTGTCTGTCAGTCATTATTTGCATTAAAATAGAGCTTTTGGATATAATTGCATAAGTTATGTCATATTTAATGTTGCATTCATTTGCTTTATATGTCATATATATTTGATTTTTTTCATTTATTTGCGTTAATTAATGTAGAAAAATTATGCACATTGATCTTCTGACTGTACAATCATCATAAACAAAAGTAATAAAGTTAATTTTTTGGCTTAAATCATATCCCAAGTAGCACGGCAACGTCGTTACGATGTTGCAAACTGGTCGCGGATGCCTTTGCAAAAACGTTGCAATATGTCATCTTTAAGACACCCAGATGTCTGCGAAACTCCACCGTTTTGCAATTGTTGCAAAGACGTCTTTATTATGTCTTTGCAGATGAGGTTTATGTTGAATAGACGTCGTTATTGCGTCTTTCTCGCGTATATTTTGGTTGTGAAAGCATCGTATCACGACGTCTTAACGACGCCTAAATGTTCGCAGAATTCAACCTTTCTGCAACAGTTGTGAAAACATCGTTATGACGTCCTTGTGTTACATATTGATTTATGCAGAAAAATAAGCTTAATAATTAATGTTTTTTTTTTCTTTTTTTTTAAATTTTGTATTTTGTATTTTGTCTTGTATTTTTCTAAAGTTTAAATATTTTATCATTTCCTGAAAACCAGAAGATAATAAATTTTTTTCCTCTTTAGACTAAATATGCATAATTAATAATTATTGATTATGCATATTATTATTGATAATATGCATGATTATTGATTATTTTCAGTACTTTAAACTATATTTTTTAAATAACTTAAATTCTAAGTTACGATTATTTAAGATTTCATCATTTTTTTTACGTAATCCTGTAGTATGTAAGTGAGAGTAATTTTGAAAACAGTATTATCACATTTATTTCTGTTAAAGCTCAGAGACAATGAAAATTGCCCCTGTCATGATAAATTAGGAAGGGTAAGGTAACATAATCAGTATTTTACCTGAACTCAAGTATAAATTTATTTGCATTTCATAGTAATAAAATAGAACCATTAACTTCTATATCTCCAAGATATGCAAATGAAAGACTGTATAAATTAGTTAATAAATGTGATCAAAAATATTTCGTATAAAAATATACCTAAATCTAATAAACAAAAAATTTCCCATATTCATATCTAAAATGAAATAATAACCTAACAAACAACATATATGACAGCACTGTTTAAGAAAAAACATGAACTAGCAGTGTTTGAAAGTATAAATAGCAGAAGGAAGGTAACAGAAGGAAAATGTCCAATTAATAAAAAATTATATGCGCTTTTTAAATAGTAAGTAATGAAAAGTGCAATAATTATGGATTGCAGTATTTACTGGTAATGCTGATGTTTCTTAACACCATGTCTTTCGATCATATGTAAATGTATTTACTTACTTTTAGTTTCTACATTTTAAAATAGTGGTAGATTATAATGATCATTTCATACACTTTTTATAATCAGTAACTTTTCTTTTGCTACTGTACAGAATTAGTAAAAAAAATATAGTATACAATAGTAAGCTAAGTACGTTAAAGTAAGCTTTTCGTTAAATAGCACACGATGAAACTTTTTGCTTTATTATGAATTTCTTTGTTACCACATGCACATAAAATGTAAGCGAAGAAAATAGAATATACTTAAATTTTATAAGGAATAAAACCTAATTTCCAACATTCATTTATTGAGATAATCTAATAGACGTACATAACAGGAATATTTTAAAAAAATTCGACTTACACAGTGTTTGGAAGAATAGCTACCAAATGACAAGTAATAAAACTGCAATTTGCAATGAATTAAAAAATATTTAGTGCTTTTTAATATTACACACTTAAATATCACTTAATTATAGATTACAATATTTCACACTAATCCTATAACACTATTTTTTTCCGATCATATGCGGAAAGTCTGAGCACCCATCCTGTTAGTTTTAATATGAGTGATATACAATATAGCACTTAGGACGTTATAACCAATTCCGTGTATCAAAATATTGAACTGCTGGATCACTGAAGATTGGAAAACACCACCATGGGAGTTTAATTACCGAAAACATGAAACAAAAACACAGAACACTATTTCACTGTATGGACAATTTTAGCACGTTGCATTGTAGAGCATATACTCACAATCATAATAAGCAGAAATTCAGCATTACCAGGATGATTTCTCCTCAATTCAAAATAAACTGCCATCATTATATTCTTATCCATCAATCTCTTGCTGTATTGAAGCTCTCCAGTATTTAATTCCAACGGTGAATTACAAAACCATGAAGAAAATATTTCTGAAATAAGATGGAGTCTGAAATTATTGAGCCGTTAACTAACGTATTCGAATTTGGCAGCTAGCCAAAGCTCGCAAGCCTGGAGCTCAGATGTTTGTTTAAGTAATCATTCAGTAAAGAATGTCAATCACTCAAACAGATTGCATTAAACCTATCGACGGTTCTGATAATTTAATATAATCTTTTTTAAATGGCCTAGAAGAATTATTTCAACTGAATAGGATTACGAACAATGTTTGTATAATGATTATATTTACAAAAAAATATTTATCAGCCTCGCTAAAACGTTTGTAATTTCAGTGTCGCCAAATCCCGAGTGTACTGTATACTAGGATTAAACCAAGCATTTTTAAATGCGTATAAACATAACAAACAGTTCATCAGAATTTTTATAGGTAATGAATTTCGTATTTTTGTTCACAGTTTTTCTCATTTTGATGTGAACATTTTATATCTTCACAATCATATATTCGTGAAAATTGTACTTTTTGCTCTGTATGCGGTAAAATGTTTCATATTATGTCAGCATATTAATTCAAATAAATTTGTCCTTACTTCAAAAATAATAAATTAAGTCATATTTCAGTAGCGAAATAATTGCTAACGTGATTTGCATTGATTTCGGAAATATGATTTTTTAAAATGTATAAAGTGCATAACTTAATAACTTACTTTATAGATTAGTTTCATTTTTAAATATTTTGCTATAATATTTATAACAAATATTTTAAGTATTAATTATTTTGACAAATTTTAAACAATAATTTAGCATGTATTTTTAGTACTCAATAAATTTAATAATTCAAGTATTTATATTAAATTTATATTTCATTAGATGAATTTACCTTAAAGTAATGAAACATTGCAAAATAAATCTTATGCGGACTTCAGATTCTTGCAAGGGCGGATTTAGTCTCTTTGCATTCTAAAAGTAACACTGATAAACTATGAAAAATATGCTAAAATGACCACGTCTAAAAGCGGTCATATCATGACATTTCAGTGACGTCAACAAATTGCCAAGATGCAACAGCGAATATTTTGCATTTTACCAACGTTGTAAAGACATCGTAAAAGTTACCACAACCACTTTGCAACCTCTCGGACCAGTTTGCAACGTCTTTCCAATGTCGTGTGCTACTTGGGATTATCAGTTTTTCAAATTTATGACTAAAAATATCTAATATTCTAAATGTTATCTCTTCATTTGTCTGTAATTTTATGATGTAGGGCAATATATGTGTATTTTTTCTGTTTCTAAATTTTCAAAGCATACTTTTGAAAAGGCAAATTCCCCCCTCTACTGTTTAATTCTAGTTTTGACAGTTTACTAAATTCATTTCCTTTATGATTCGAATTATTATTTAAACCTTTAAATATGAACTGCATTCTTATCTTCTGACTTAACTAATCTATGTAATCCTGAGGTATGTATTTTCTGTTCATATAAAGTATATGTGCATGGTATCTATGCACTTATTTGTGAAGTGTTTATATCTTTTTGCTATAAAAAGGTTCTTTTGTCCATGAACTGCAGTAATAAGTTATTCATATAGTTTGTTTTATGTTTGTGACATTGTATGCTTATTATAAAAAAAAACAAATCTTACATACAATATAAGTCAATATTTCAAAATGGATATTTTTATATTGCTCGAGTTAAGGAAAAACTGGATTTGATTTTTGTGATGGATATTTATTTTCCCAAAACAGGTAGCAATTTTCTTGCAATAAATTATTTCTTTTCATTGAGGCTATGTTAGGTCTGTTTTCCTGTTCATGATTAATTTTATCTATGGTTAAAAACTTGACTAGTCTCTACTTTAATTTATGTTAAGCAAAATTTCTACTTTACTGGAGGGAATAATGTATTAATTTATGAGGTCATTTTTGTATTTTAATTTAAAATACTTTTTATTTATAACCTGGCTCAGGTTTTTAATGAAGAAAACTTTCATTTCTTTCAATAGAAAATGACAAGCAGCGTTCATTTTAGCAGTAGTATTTGGGGTATATGTTCCAAACATCTATTCTCCATAGTTGGCATAAATACAAAAAATAGTTTGTTAAAGAAAAGCTCTTTTAACTTAGATTAACATTTAAGATTATAATTTTTTTTTAAATGACAAAGAATACAAAATGTCATAAAGTAAGGTAAATGTTTTGAACTTTTTCAGTCATTTGCTCTGTGTTATTTTTTAATTGTTATTTCTAAGATATTTATGGAAGAAACAAAGTTCTAAAGCATATTTTCACTTATTTTAATATGAATATCAGATACATCTTAATTAGATAGTTTTGTTCCTACAGATTTATAGCTGAGAGATCTACTGGGGAGCAGCTGTTGTACATTGATGGTATAGATGAAAAGTACAACCTTACAGACATTTCCAAATGTGAATCAAAGAAGTTAACTGTTGATAAACATCTTGAGACAAATACAGTTATTCCTCTTCAGCCTAAGATAAAAAAGTGAGAATGCAACACTTTTCTTCAAATAACATTATATGTTATAAAACTGTTTACATTATAAAACTGAAGCACAAATATTCCAGATAATCGTTTATTAATGACAAATGTCATTAAATGCTTTTGAGTTTGCTATTGCTTTCTTCATTTAATAATGCACTCTCTTTAAATAAGGTATGCACATCATTTATCTTGAATATCTAGGTATCATGTAAGTATCCATTTATGAGTACTGGTAACCTTCTTTAACACAGTAGATAGATTCCTAGAATACGCCATGTTGTATGAGACCCCAAAAAGGAAGGTTATGTTTCAAAACTTATTAAAAACATTTTTTAAAAGAATTCTTCATAAACAATTTTTATTAAAAATATATATGTATATACAACATAAAAAATATTACATATTTTAATTTAATGCAACTTTAATAAATTTCTTTGTTGTTATTGCTTAGTATAATCAACTGAGAACGTTTTCTCGGTGGAATGAATTTGCTTTCATTTTAATAATATTTTTCTTCATTTGAAGTTCTGGCATCTTCTTCCCTCTTTAAAAAATTAGTAATTTTGCTTTGCTTGCTAGTTCTTACCAAGTCCTTTTAAATTTCTTGATATTGAGCTAGATAGTTTTGCAGCTCCCTTTTGAATTTTCGGCTTCTTTCAGTGAAAGGTCTGCATTCAAGAAAAATTACTTGAAATTTTTCAGCTAAGCTTAGGCCTTCTTTTAATTTTTTAATGTTAAATTATTAACTGCACAATCTTCATCATTGCTAGTGTCCTCAGAATCGATTTGATTTATAGCTTTGATGCCATTTCCATCAAATCTACTTCATCAATTTCTTCTTCCGCTAATAAATCTTGAACGTCCTCAATAGCCATATCCACAAAACCTTCGCCTCCGATTGATTTACCAAGTTCTAATATGCCACCAATTTCATTTTCTGGTGATTCACACGTTTTCTATTTTAACTGAAGAGGGCTATATCTTCTTCCAACATGCATTTAACATTGATGCTCTCAGCTGTTTCAGCGACAAAGATATGATGTTGATACAGTGCTTGATTGAAAATTTCTTCCAAGCTCTCATTACAGTAATTGGTTTTTATTTGATTACATTTAAAATGCACTGTAATGCTCTTCTTATGTAATATGTTTTAAAGGTATAAATAATACCTTGATTCAAATCTTGTGTGTGACATGGAGCATTGTCTTTAGTAATAGCGCCTTGAAGCTCACATTTTTCAGCCTTAAATTACGTTCAACATGTGGCACAACACAATTAAAAACCAATCTTTAAATGAATTTCCAGTTACACAGGCTCTTAGATTTTCTTACCGATATTCCGGTAAGGTGTTTTTATGTATGCCTTTTAAGTGCACGAAAATTTAAAATTGTATAAACCAACAAGGGTTTTGACATGAATTCCCCGGACTCATTACTGCACAAAAGTAGCATTAAACGATCTTTAGACACCTTAAAATCTGGGTGCAGTTTTTTCTGTTTTCGGTATAAAGGTTCTACTGGGCATTTTTTCCCACCGAAGCTCGGCATTTCATCAGCATTGAAAACTTGATCTGCTGTGTATCATTGCTCTTCTATAATATTTTGAATTTTTTTGGGATGGGTCTTAGCAGCTTCATAATCATCTGATATGGATTCTCCTTGAATTGTTATGCTGTAGAATTGCATTTCTGAAATTTTCGAACCAACCTTTACTTGGCACAAAATCTGGGTTGGCAAAGGATTCTCCATGTTTTTAAAGGTGCTTGTAAATTTTGAGTGCTTTTTGTTTAATGATCCAACAAAATTCTTTTTTGACAGCTATCATCAGTACAAATGCTGAGTGCCTTTTCCATCTTTTCAATTATTGGTGCCTGGGGGCGAGCTGCATGTTTTGCAGATGTGGAAGATCCTGCAGCAACTGCACTTTTTATTTCTTTTTCATTTTTTTTAATAGTCTGGACTGCTGCTTCATTCAGGTTAAGATGTTTTTTCCAATGTGAGATGCCTTTTCTCCTTTTAAAAGACAATCCAAGATTTGTATATTCACTATTAAAGAAATAAATTTCCTCTTAAACGTTGTTTTTTTATCTTTATTAGACATGTTTTGGCACTGAAACTTGATATCTTAAAGATAGAAAAGTTATTCTTTAACACACCGTGGCTTGATGCAGACTGCCGACCAACAGTGTGAGACACTTTTGTTTTCAGTCCAGGAAGATGCAGAATTCAACTGAATTCAATTCATAAGAATTCAACTGTCGCTTTCCATGTGGCTCGTGTCTCTGAGGGCATTTGTTCTTACGGAAGACAAAATGGTAAACAGGTAGCAGGACTTACGAAACAAGGATTCTTATATGTTAAATGACTCTGTGGGTGCTTTGCTGAATATAGAAAAACTTTGCTCAGAGATTGTTAAATTTCTTTGGATTTCTTGGGCAATTTTTCTTAATCGTATTAGAACGAAACTGTGTTATAGGAGGGTTCTCGCAATTAATGAATTGTGTTATAGCAAAAACGTATTACAAGATGCCATGTTGTTGCAGGGTTCTTGTAATTTATGAATTGTGTTTTAGTGAAACTGTATTATGGGATGCCGTGTTGTAGCAGAGCTACCTGTACTTTCTGTGAAACATGTCTGAAAGCTTAGAATTATCTCAGTGTTTTTGCATAACAAAATTTGCTTTTTATATGCAAAATTTATTATTAGCCTTGAATTTTTGTATCAGGAAACTGCATTATTTATTCATCCAAGATTTAGAAAATTTTTTGTCTTCCGTCTGATATATAAGAAACATTTGTTTTACTTGACTTTGTCTATAGCATCTGATTTCATCTCTAGTATTATTATGATAGTTTAAACATTATGGATGCCTTATAATTAGTTGCCATTATGAAAAAAATTGACATTTCATGATTTGGTTGCATTTTTCAGTGACTCCTAACAGAAAATAACAGTTTTTATATTATTTCAATCATTGATTATTTTAAACATATTTTACAGGGAAGTTTTCTACATTATGTTTTCTATTTCAATATCCTTTGTTATTTGTTTTGACCTCTAACTTAACTCATCTTTTATATTTTAGATGGCATACGGTCCGTATTTTCATCTCTTCGACATTTAAAGACATGCATGCTGAAAGAGATATGCTGATTCGTTATGTGATTCCAGAATTAAAGAAAAGAGCATCATCTATATGCGTGAAGATAAATGAAGTGGATTTGAGATGGGGTATTACTGAAGCTGACTGTTCTACAAAGCGGTTTGTCTCCTTTCTATCACCAATTCATTACAATTATAAGTATTAATGGCACAGATAAAATGAAATCACTCAAAAGTAAACTTGTGCACTTAAAATTATTTATTAAATTGGTAGAAATTGTGCTGTAGTTTTAATGATATGAAATCGTAGAATATAGTAGGATTAGTATTTTTTCTTATGTTTGGGATTTTCATGTATCTTACGATTTTGTAGTTTCAGCAGTTGCAACACTTTCATTCAGGGACAATGTAGAGAACACACAAATGCAATAAATGTAGATACCAAATTAAAAATTGTAGCATATGTTTTTTCCTCATGTTAACATCCATAAAAATAAGATGTTCAAAAATAAAATGCAGATTACTAAACTTTTTTCGTGATGAATAAATTCAAATGGGGAGGGGGAGACTTTCTATTTTCTGACCTGAGCTTCTTTTTCTGAGGCAGAGTAATAAAAATATATTATTTTTTTTAATTATCAGCAGGCTGTTTTCAAAAGCATTGAAAATTAATGTTCGAAATCATTAGAGGAGGGAATTTATTTTTTAACCCTAGAGTACTAAAGGCCAAAAAAATTGTGTTCTATTATACCATTGAAAAGTTTACAGTGCAACATATGTATGCATATAAATTTACTGGGGAACAATTTGTAACACAATTTCTGTTGCTTTGATTTTTGAGTTGTTTTAGAGTTAAATAGGCATGTTGATTTCAAAACTGTAGTTTGTTTTCTTCTAACCACATCAAGTTTTATCTTTACATCTTGTTTGAATGCGACCACTTTCCATGGCATTGAACATGGATCATATGATATATGGCAGTTGTAACATTCCAGTCAAAGGATAAAATCAGTACGTTTGTCAGCATGCCTATTTTAAAGTTAAAATAGGTGATCAAGATAAATCATGGGCTTCTCACAAAGTGTGCAAGCAATGTGTCGACAGTTTATGGATGTGTTTCCATTTTGTACACCTAAGAGTTGGTGGCAGCCCAAAGACCACTCAAGTGATTGTTACTTTTATATAGTGAAAACATCAGGATATAATAAGAAAAACAAATGTAAAATACAGTATCCTAATTTATATCATCAGCTGTATGCCCAGTGCCTCTCACAATAGAACTCCCAGTGCCATTTTTCAAAGAATCGTCCTCTTTGAAAATACAGGAATACAATTTTGGTGACTATGAAATTGACCCCAATGATTAAGATTTTGAAAGTAAAGATGATTCTGTTCATAAGGGATTTGACTAGCATGAGCTAAATGATTTGGGAGCTGGAGAAAAACTTGCTTGCTATCCTACTTTGGATCAAGAAAATGTGCATTTCTGCAGTACTTTTGAAGTGATGGTGGATTTGTGTATTGCCACATGTGAGTGCCACACAGAGTGAAGTTTACCTTGACTTGTTAACTCTCTTATTCATTCTTACTTTCTAGAATAATAAATTTACTTAAATTACTTATCTAAAAATTTTAATGTATGTTTTATGTATGTTTGTTGGTTTCTATTTACCTTCTATGATTTTCCGCGGCACAGGGTTATTTTGTTAATTTTATCACAATGCAAGAAAATTTGTGAATTTGTAAAAGAATTCACATGTAGGTCATAGCTATAACTTACTACTCTGTAGAGTATCTTGCTCACTGTTGCAGGGTGCCTCTTTCTATGCGACATAAAGGTTGAGTCGGTTTAATTTTTCCGCCAGTTAACTAATTTAACCTATTCTGGTACACTTATTTAATTGCATCCAGAACATATGAATAAAACTGTTCCTTGTAAATTTTGGTAAGATTTCGTTTATATTTATATTTTGTCTGACAAAGAAAAAGTATCCCGTATCTTAAAATGTTGACATTATAGGCAAAAACTTATGTTAGTTTTGGTTTCATAGGCCAAAAGTTTGTCAAAAACAAGTGATAGATCTAAGGCAGTGAAATTGCTATTCCCTATCGTATAAATTAAAAACATAGTATGTTAAAGTGTATTTACTATTGATAAAAGATATTGTTTATTATTATGTAATGATTTTTGGAAAAGTTAATAACATATAAATACATCTTTTCATCTTTCCCCCCCCTGGTTTGGGAACTTCTTGCTTTGGCAGTAAGGAAGAATGGAAATTATGCAAACTCACAAATTTTACAAAAGTTTCTCTCTGACCACAAATCCCTGCTGATATAATTATAGGGCGAAATTGCCCTCAGACCTTAGTTCTATAAGCTGAGAACAAACACAAACTTTGTACAAATGACCATCTTCATCCCTCATATTCGGGTGCATCAGTCTTTCCACTGGAAGTTACTAGTTTCGGACATGTTTGAGCCATTAATATTAGGCCCATTATGTTAGGCACAGAATCAGTGAATATGACAGTGCTAGAGTGACCACAAAAACTTACCAACTAGCTCCCAAGTAAATTGTTGTAAACTTATTGCACTAAAATTTTAGCACTAGAGGCTAAAATTTTGAAATGTCAGTGGGGACTTTTCTTTCCTCAACTTTCATCCATATGTTTGCCTTTTGTGAGAGGTATGCAGTCAGAAATTAACATGGATTTTCAGTCTTACTTGTTGCTAAAATATAATGCTACAAGATCAAAACAATTTTCTGCTGAAATTATGGTTCACTTTTTTCAAAAGAAGTATTGGAACTCCCATACTTAGTGCTTCAAGTGGAATTATGACCAATCTCAAAAACTAAGAAGTAAAAAAGCCCAGCTCCAGCAGTGGCTCCAGCTCGATTTGTGCGCTGGATATTATTGTATGTATATGAGTATGTGATAGATTGAATGCATACAGAACTGATGATAGCTTGATAAAATTTATTTTACCATAAGCAATGTTTCACAGTTCTGGAACTTTCCACAAAAGTGCTTGTAGAGCTCTTCACAGTATCACAGAGCGCAATCAGAAATTCCGCTTCAGACTACTAAGAACATTAAACAAAATGCAATGCTAAGTGCATCTAAAGAGTGAAAATCACATGGAGATATCTCAATACTTCAAACTCACACTGAAGTAAACAACAGCTACTCAGAAACAGATGTTCTCTCTGGTCTTATATAGTTTTCTCCTGACACCGAGAAATTTTTAACACCTTCCACTTTGTGAAATTACTTGAAGGCATGTGAGGGCCAGATACAGTTACAGCTATGTAATAGCATCAATTCCAATTATGCAATTACAATACCCATCACAGTTAACCAAAATCTCGCCAAATGGTCGCCATGTTTGGCGACTTTTAGTGATTTCTTCCTAAATTTGGTGACAAAAATTAGTTGCCAAAACCATCACTAGCATGGCGATATCTCACCAATTTAGCAAGATAGCCATTTATCCAATATTAAATAGACTTACCCCTATATTCTTACATTTCCTGCAGTCTTCGCTTCTTTAGATTTTTATGTTACATTATATGAAAAAATACTACAATTTAGCATATAATTTTTGTAAAATTATTTACATATGTACGAAATTCGTAGCAATATGCATGGATTAAAATGTGGTTAAATCTCAGAACAAGTCAAACATCACATATTTCTGATTTAATACACTAAAATGCCACTGGATTAGGAATACCTGGTTAGTAATGAATTGTTGGTCATTTCTTATTAACCCTTTGCACTCAGGGCCTGCGTGGCGCACCAGCAACTCGAGATGTTTCACAGCCTTTTTGACATATTTCATACCAGTAACTTAAAATCATTACACACACAAATTAATGTATAAAATTTGTATATTTCATCATTTTATCATTTTACATATCTTTACACCTTTATAAACATAATTTCTTAAATATTAGTCTCTGTAATTTTGCTGTGTATGATATTTCATGTCACAATTTCCAAGATGCATGCCTGGCTTGTTGGGGCAAGTATTACAATAATATGTCTTTTGATGCCTTTTTCCAGATTTATTTTTCTGAGAACAGTCAGGTATCATTTTACACTTCATAAGATTATACAGAAAGAGTGTAAGAACTCGCTTCGAAGAAACTAAATGTAAACAGTTTTCGCATCAAACCAAGTGGTGAGTGAGAGTCACCTCTTGAGTTGCAGTATCAAATCACATGGTGAGTGAGAGTCACCTCTCGAGCTGCAGCAACAAATCACATGGTGAATGAGAATCATCTCTCAAGTGCAAAGGGTTAATAATGGACGTCACATAAGACACTGACTGAACAAGTATTCGGTGGTGTTCACAGGTATAAGCTGCCAAATATCCATAAATTAGTTAAGGCTGCTCGGTAGTAGATGACTTGCCTGCTTTTCGAAAGTATCCCAAATGGGCTTAATAGGATACACATTCAGGAATCTTTAAGGCCTTCTCAGCATGGAGAATTCACTGGAATGCTCCTTGAATAAAGTGGGAGCCAACTGGGATCTGTGATAGAAAGAGTTTTACTTCTTGTACACGACATTTTCATCTTAATGGCTAAAAAGCGTGATGGGTAGTAAGTTATTCACGCAGAGGATATATCTACTTAGATGCAGTGATGATGCTTAGTATAAATATGGCACCAAAGGTTTCAAACATTGCCAAGAAAAAACATCCCTCATCATCACTGAGCCATCATGATTTTGTACAGTTACAATCTAGCAAACAGAATCCATGGATTTATCATATTCTTAGCCAATCATCGGCAGGATATAGTCGGAATCAAAACTCATCTCCATGCTATTTGTGTCCGGTCATTGAGGGTCAACATAATGACCTGCACAGTCCATCAACTGACTGTCTGAATGGACTTCTCATTTAGTTAGGTAGTCACCTTAGCTAAGGTTTAGTGTCACATGCAACATATGATATTGCTGAGTCTTCGAGGATCATGGACAATTCATGGCTGCTTATGCCTTGTAGTTTATTTGATTGCTATTTTTTTCTGTTATCTGTGTTTTCCCTCAATACTCTTGACAAGAAAAGAGCCCGGGTCTCAATCTATTTGTGAAATTTAATGATTATGCATCCAGCACTTATTATTTGCCCTTAATAGTAGGCTATAGTTGCGAGTTTTGCACATCATGTTACTTGTAACAGTTGCTTAAAGAGGGCTACAGTTTCAGCTATATATTGGCATATTTCAGCAGCAGCATCCTCATGTGCACAGAATTGAAGCAGCAGTGTCTTGTTATTTAAATAAAACTATCTGTCCATAATTTAAGGGAGCTTAGTGTAGTTGATCTTGCTGAACGATAATAATGAGTGATCAAACCTTCTTTTTCTTTTAGTAAATATTGCTGGTTTGAATATAAACATGGAGAAAACTATTGAAATAGTAGAAACAACTTCAGCTTTTGATGAAAATAATAGTTCTGTTTACATTTTAACTTCAGGAAACAGAAAAAATAAAATCACTAGCATTGGAAAAGCGTAAGTTTTTCTCAGTGTGTAATTAAGTTAATATGACTATACCCAGGAAAGTCCTGTATTATATGCAATAATTTTTCATTGTTTTAATTGAAAAAGGTGCAGTAGGTATTTATGAATTAGGACATTTCTCATATTCCCTATATTTATCATTGTTTTCATCAATTACCAAATAATGGAAAATTTAAATCCATTCTGAAATGAGGAATACTACATATTGCTATTATTGCAAATGTTTCAATTCTAATTGTCATCTACATGAGAAGTAGCTGCAAAAGTTCACAAGGGCTCCTGCCGCTTTTCTTTAAACCTGACCATATAGATCATACATGCAAATATAACCCTGTGCAGATATATTCAGTCTTAAATAGACCCAGGAACACAATATATGATGGAAGAAAAGAATAGGGGCTTGTTTTAGAAAGATTATTTTCTGTCATTATATTTGATGGAAATCAATCTTTTAAGGGGGTGTTGAAGAAAGTTTGGTTTATTTTCTTATGGCAGAGCACTCAAGAACTATCTGCCTGAGGGGAGGGATGACTTCATGGAGGATTTTATAAGGAAAATTGGCTCGTATGCACATTGCACATGGGGAAAACCATGAAAATGCCCATGCAGCCAGCCTGTTCACTGGGATTTGAACATCAGACGGAACTACCAGTGTTCGGTGACTTCACTGCTTGGCTACTGGTGGGCCTGATGAAGAAAGGAATTTCTACCACTGGCAACATTCTAGAACAGTTTGAAATAATGGCCAAATATAAAGTTATGGGGAACAAGCAGTTTTAATGAGCAGCAAATCCTAGAAAACTATCTACATAATTTAACAAGAACTTTGAAAAAGAGATAATTGCTGTAATTTATAAGGAAATTTTCTTAAATGTGAAAAAAAAAGTGTTATCAGGAATGACTATCATTCATAGTTCTAGTTCCCTTTCTAAATTAAGTCACCAAGAACTGCATTTTAAAAACAGTTTTGATTCGATAAGTTTTGATAATACTACTATAATGATTTAATTCATACTATTGAAATTAAATCAAGAATCATAGAAATTCATGTGATAAACATTTGTGCAAAGTGAATGAATCATTTTATGCTGTTAATTGTCTTTCAGAAATCGTTGATCAAATTTGATTTGATTATAATACTTAGGTTTGCATTTTGTTCACTTTATGAAAAAGTAAGTTCGATTGGTTGCTCACTAATTTATATATGTATATGTGAAAAATGTGGCTCTGTAAATACCATTCAAGCTTCGTACAGAAATATTTATCTGTCTGATAAAAAGTAAAAAGTGTCCAATGAACCGAACATCTGTAACCTCCCACTGAAAGAAAAATGTGAATGAAAATTTATGACATCACAACCAGTGTAAAGACAAGAAATTTTATTTGAAACTTATAAATATCAAAGTGAATTAAAGTAATTTTAATATAATTATACTTGCTTTGTTTATGAAACTAGAACTGTTGAGTATTTCTTCAGTTCATGAAGGTAATGTAGTTCACCATGTGAGACTTTTCTGTTATTGCAGCAAATATGATATTTCAACTAAATATTTGATATGATTTCAATTAAACTAGTCATAACTTTGGTATGATTTCAGCTAAACCAGCATTGATTTTTGCGGAACATAGTATACTGCATATGTCATACCCATTATTAATATCTTTGAAAGAATAATATTATGAATAAATTGCAGGTTTTTCAGAGTTTAAATCTATGATGTTAATACCAAATGTATTATAACTCTGTAAGAGTGATTTTGAAAATTTTCATAGTGTTTTCTAGACAGCTGTGTGATAGGTATATGGTTCTTTCTACAGTTTTTATTTACTAAGAGCAGAGCAAAGAAAATTGTTATGATGATTTTATGAAGTAGTTACAGGATACTTCTGCCCTATAGTTGTTTTCCAGGAATTTTCAGACATCTGAGGTCAGAATATGTAATTGTATGTATGCAGGATACTATGATGTTAATGTTTTCCAGTTAAATTTTCATTAGATGCTACAAATGTGGCTTGCTTTTTTGTTTGTTTGTTTCAGTTTGTGTATAGATGAATTACATTTTATGTATTTGATTATGTAAATTTTACTTTTCATGTTCTAGTGCTACAGAGCTGTGTCTCCTTGAAGCTCAGAAATGTGACTACTTTATTGGAATTCTGGGTGAGAGATATGGCACTATTTTTAAATTTGAAACTCCAGATAGTCCAGAATTAAAATGGGTGCAGGATTACCCTTCAGGATTGTCAGTTACTGAGCTTGAAGTGCATGCTGGAGCCCTAAGAGAACCTAAATTATCAGAAAGAAAATCATTTTTCTATTTCCGTGACAATTCCACATTTATTGGGTTAGTAATATGTTCTTTCAAATGCATGATTAAAAAATAATTCCTTTCTCTGATGTATATTTCAAAAATCTTACCACTTTGCATATATTGCTTGTTTAATGTTATTTAATATTAATACAACATTCTCTTCTGTTTAGTAGTAATAGTAATAGACATTATTGGCAAGGAAAATTGTGTGGTAAAGTAAATTTTGCTCATGCTTTCTTCTGAGGTAGAGCCAGTAGGAAAACTAAGAAGGAAAGTTCCACTCAGATACTTGACATCATATTTGTACCAAGTATTTGCATGGGCATCACGAAAAGAACATTTTTTTATTTAGTTCTAAAGTTTACAAGTTATAACAGAGAACACGAAAGCTATGTTTATATGCTCAATACATTTGTTAATTGTCTCAAAACCGTCACTACATTTCAGGTTTATTTTTGAAAGTTTTATGTACTACATTCTCCCATCTTAAATTTAGCTGACGAAGAAATTAAACTGTTGTTGTAGAATTGCCTGTTAAACCTTAGAGTATGCACTTTAAATTGTACTTGAAGTTGTCCTCATACTTTGCTTTCTTATACATAATAATTCATCTGCAGATCAAGAGTTTGGGACTCAAATGCAGAACTGATTTAAATTATTTGCAGCCTCCCACAACTTTAGATTTCTGTCCCTTCAAGTTGGGATTTTTGAGACCCTTAATGTGCTTACCCTTGAAATTGTATTTTCTAAAGAATGTTTCTATAGACCGTTATGCAATTTATTGCCACTAATCATTTTATTTTGAAAAAAGAAAAATTCTAAGCACTATTGTAATTTAATTCATATTCAAATTACTGGTCTAAATAAAGTTATTTAAGCTTAGAGTGAAATAAAAGTAACAAGAAAATCGTAGGTAACATAGGCCACTAAAACACTTTCATAGAATATCACCTTTTCACATGGGTTGTAGGAACTAATTTTTTATGTATTGAAGCCATTTAGTCAATTATTCAATTAGCAAGAAACAGAAAAACAAATCGACAGTGTCTGTCATTTCCTGCTTCTTTTTAAGTAGCAATTTTAAACCTGCATTGTATAAACTACATTTTTTTAGCCTTATATAATGTAATGAATGAATGGAACATATACAGGGGTTGGACAAAAATATGGAAACACCTTTAAAAAAACATGTTTTTTTGCTTAACATGGTGTAGGAAACCCGTTGGCATCCAAAACAGCTTGCAGTCTTTTCGGAATGGATAAATACAGTTCCTGTATGTTTGCCAAGGGAATATTATACCATTCTTCCTGCAAAACGGTGGCAAGTTCAGATAACGATGTTGGTGGTGGATAACGAGAACGCACTTTCCGTTCCAATGTAGACCACAAAGGTTTGATAATATTCAGGTCTGGTGACTGTGGTGGCCAGGGGAGATGGGACAACTCATCCTCGTGCTCAGAAAACCAGTCCTGGTCAATGTGAGCTGTGTGAACAGGGGCTTTGCCGTCTTGGAAGACACCATCACCATCGGGGAACAAAGTTTGTACCATGGGATGAACTTGATCGGCCAAAATGTTCACATAAGTTTTGGCAGTCATGTGCCCTGACACAGTATCATGGGGCTAGCAGAGAACCACGATATGGCTGCCCAAACTATAACAGAACCCCTGCCATGTTTCACTCTTGGCAACAAGCAGTCTGTATTATAGGCTTGAGATAGCGTTCTCCAGACGTAAACTCGGCCAGAAGTGGGAAAAGATGTGAAAGAAGACTCGTCAGACAATATTACTCGCTTCCACTGCTCTATAGTCCAGGTTTTATGACTTAAACACCACCTTATCCTGTTACGGGCATTAGCATCACTGATGAGTGGCTTCTCAATTGCAGCACGGCCAGCAATTCCCTGTTTATGAAGCTCCCTTCTAATTGTTTTGGTACTCACAGGGTTCAGTAACACAACATTCATTTCAGCAGTAACTTTTGCAGCTGTGGTCTTCTTATTTTTCATCACAATTGCTCTCAATGATCGTCTGTCATGATCACTCAGGACACATTTTCATCCGTGCTGTGATTTAGCAGATGATGTTTTCCGCTTTTCAAATATGCGGAATAAATCTTCGATACAGTACCTCTTGAAACACTAAACACTTTGGCTACCTTGCTTACGGAAGCACCTACCATACGTGCTCCAACAATTTGCCCACGTTTGAAGTCTGTTAACTCTGACATTATGCAATGACAACCTCACATAACAGTACTCCAACAACTGAACTGTTTAGCACATTTACGAAGTTGTATAGGTGGCGTCAGTAGTCAAAAATGCCAGCGCCACCTACATATTTCATTAAAATCAATCTTTCTTTTCAAACATGCATTTCACAAGGTGTTTCCATATTTTTGTCCATCCACTGTATGTCCCAGCCCATAGAAAAGGATAAGGATGAGTGTAAATAGCGTTGCCAAAAAGTACAAGGAAAGTGGACAGTGGAATTACGGAATTGAAGAGATCTAACACATTACAGAACAGAAGTGAAAGAATTTAACACTCCCGTCAATTGTGTTGTCCATAGAAAAAATATTAACTAATGCAAATCTGTTAAAGGTTTGCATGAAAATCTTACCTTTTATATTGAGCATTTCTCTTTTAAATTTTACTTTGGGAATAGCTTTCATGAAGATATCTGCTAGCTGCTCTTCTGATTTCACACACATTATAATGACAGATTTGTATTCATATTTTTCACGAATAAAATGGTAGTGTACATCAGTATGTTTTGTGTGTTTGTGAACTATAAAGTTTTTGATCAGTTTAATAGCACTCTGATTATCAAAAAAGATACAGTACCCTCTTTACACATTTCACTTTCACCCACATCTCGCAGAAGTTGGCACAACCACAATACTTCTTTCCCTGTAGCTAAAGCTGCAATATAATTAGCCTCAGGGGTAGGAACATTTGATTACTTTTGACTGCACTAAGGTATTGGACCTTTGCTAAGTTTAAACTTGTAATCAGAAGTTGATTTTCTTGTTTCTGCATCATTAGCAAAATCTGAATCTGAGTTTCCAACAACATGGCAAGTATTATTAGCTTCTGGAGAATAATCGATGCCAAAGTTTGCTGCAGTTTTCAGTTATTTGAAAATTCATTTTACAGCATTCCAATGTACTTGGCCAGGATTGGCTTGAAATCTTCTAATCACATTTGCAGGAAAAGCTATATCTGGATGTGTAGTGATGGCAAGGAACAATCCAATAATTTCTCCATTGCATCTTTGAGACTTATAGCAGAACTCCTATGAAGCCTAAGTAATGCTTAGTCCTTAATCTCTGTATTAAGAGTGTCATTCCTGTATTCCTGAAGGGGAACCATAAACACAGTTATCCAGTTATCTCCAAACTTCGTTTTTTTTTTTAGTTATGTTAGTATTGCAGACTATGACTAGTATTAATATTGAAACTTCGTAATATTCAGTATTAACTGTAAAGTAAAGTAGTGTATTTTCAGAAAGCATAACAAACAAATCTACTTGCAATTGCAATTTGCTTATTTTCACTTGATGCAGTATGAAGAACAGAGAGAATTTTTCACTTTCAGTTGTTAATTTTTTGTTAATGTAAGCAACCATTTAAACCAAGTGAACCAACTAACACATCTTTCTCCGTTTGAATTGATGCCATTATTAAGACACATCACATTTAAAAAGTAAAAACTATTTTTGATATGTGGTCAAGAACCTTTCAATAAAACAAAGTGTCATTATATGCCTTTAAGCCAGTTTTTTTCTGTATACTAGAGTACCAGAGGCACAATGTGATAGAGCTCGAGATCAGATGGAGACACCTCGAAAAACAAAATACAGATCCTTGTAGATGGACTGTTAGGCATACAGACAAACATCAGAATGCTTTGGCAGTCATATCTTACTTCTTTCAGTGCTAGTCTACTATTTACAAATGCTGAACAACGAGGAACATGTGGATTTCCTATTATTCAGCATAGCTTGCAGTTCGAAAATTGATTGAAGTATGTCCACCTATCTGCTGAGAAGACTGCCCTTTCCTCCATCATAAAAGTTGTAGTAATGTCTTAACATCACTAACTGACATTAGCTTAATAATTGAAAAATATATTCATTGAGGAGACCTTGCATCTGTCTAAGAGCTGATTATCATGCAAATTGGTATCTGGCAAACAGGCTGATCTTGCTGCCATTTATTTGCATTTAATTGCTAATTAATGAAAGATATAGTTTGGGGTGCCATCAGCATCAAACTTGTTGCGAGTACAATTATAGAACTTGTTTACATGGATAATGTACTGTGGCATGTCTAGTTTCTAGATCTTTGCAGTATATACCTTATCCAGTGAAGTAAATCTAAAGTTTCATGCAGTTATTGACAAGGCAGTTCTTACAAGGATTTAAATGTTCTCTGGCGAGACTAATTTTTAAACATTTCTGCATCTGAAGATATTGGGTCATTGTTGCCAATCAAATGATTACCTGTAGTCAATATTCAATATACCCGGGATGAAGAATTTTGGCCACCAGCCAATCAGCAGTTCTTTAGAATTTGATTAAAAATTTCTTGTTTCAGTGCCATTGTTAGATATGACAGTAAATGTTTACCATTTTGTCCATTCATAAACTCATTTCTACCTAAATAATCTGTATAAAAATTTTAAACACAACCAAACAAGTTTATTCTACCCCCCAAAAAAAATTACAACTGTTGCCACACAAAGCAAAACTAAATGGAAAATAATAATATTACACTGGTTGAATGTATATGAAAAATGCTATACTTTACATACTCCCACCTTTGATGACAGGATTTTTATCAAAGCAAATATTTAATTAAACTAAAATTTAATCTACAAGTTTATTCTGAAGGTCACTTAAGTCTATTTTAAAGTTAAGTCCTTGAATCTAGAAGGCACTTTTATGGCTCGAACACTTCGTAATCTATAGCACTCGTCCAAATAGTCATCAAATGTTTTGCCATCTGGATCAAAAACTGGTTTAGGTTT